AATAAATAAGATAACTTTGATATATATTTTAATAAAAATATATTTTTTTGAAAAATTATCAATTGACTAAGATATGCAAGGTTAACCGACTTTGTTTTTATTAATATTATATGTAATAGGTTATTTGAATGTAGATATCTTCTAAAATTTGTATTTGGTTATACACTTCCAAATTTTTTAACATTATATATAATATAATAATAAATCAAACTGAAATCTATTAATTAACATATTCTATTTTTTAATTTTTTAAAATTTGGTTTGTATTAATTAACATATTATATTATTAGTGAATTGTTTTAAAAATGTTAGGAATTGTTAAATTTTATTAATTTTTTATTTTTTTTTGGTCATTTTACATTTTTCAACTAGTTTATCAGCTAGTTTTTGCCAAACGTATTTAGTTCATCAGCTAGCTTATCAGCCACCGGCTAGCTTATCAGCTAGTTTGCCAAACATAGCCTCAGTCACATATATGTAAATTGTAAATGTTGAATATGATTGTGCCATTTCCATTTTGGTATGTTTCTTGGCTCAAGAACCAACTTTGTTTGCATTAGTTTGAAGAATGTATCACTCGATAATACTCCCTCCGTCCTGAAATAAGTATTCACATTTATATTTTAGTTTGACCCAAAATAAGTGTATATTTTCTCATTTTATGATGGTGAAACTTTCTCTCTCTATTAAGAGTAAGATTGTCCTTTAATTAATTTAAAAGTGTAATAGTTACACATTTCGAAAATTGTGTGACTTTTCCATTGTGGACATTTATCTTGGGACGGAGGGAGTAATCATCAGTTCAACCTAAACCACATTCTTTGTGTCATGCGCTGAGGTTTCTGGGTTCAAATATGCTGCCACACAAGGCTTCACCAAGGAGCTCACTAAAATAATTTAGGGGGCATTTGTTTTCTAGAAGTACTGATGGCTGAAATCTAAAAATTAAGAGGCAGTGTCTGAAGCCATTCGTAGTATTTTGGAAGTATACTCATATAGATGTCTGAATATCGTATTTGTCTATGCTGATACTTGAATGTTATAGCTATTCAAACTTTTGAGAAGTGAAATTGTATGAATTATCTGAATGTTTTAACATAAACTAAAAGATTGAAAACAAGAATACATTAATAGTAAATATAAATATAATCTTTTAACCGTAAACTTAACATACCAACACTTGCCCCCATGTCCCCTTGATATTCGAAGCATGAACAGATGTTTTCATAGGACAAAGTTCGATTTTCATTGCATTATAACTTATGGTACCAAAATAAGTATACAAAATCCTGAAGAAAAACAAAATGTACCAGTTGTTGTCTCTGCATCTTTTTTATTCTCAGGTGTTATATGATCATACTTCCCATAAAAGTCTTATACCCTGCAGCAGAATAAATGCAACATTTTATTAGGCAGATAGTCAAAGTGAAGCTCATAGTCAAATATCTAAAATACCCCTTGCCATGATAACATAACGGAATCCCATCAATATTTTGTATTTATTTTTAGAATGGAAGGAGTGTGTTAACCAACTAACCAAAAGCACAAAGCACAAATTATTTGACCATCTTCATCCCCATTAAATTTGTGACTCATGGAGTTGAGAGTGAACCGATAGATTGGAAAGATATAAATCTATCAAAATTTCATGTATTTAGATATTTATTCTGAAAATGAATGCAAGTTCTTATGAAGATCAAATATATTTTTAGAAAGTTTTACAATTTCAGAAAAAAGGTTCACTAGTTTAGGATGAAGAGATAATTTAAAAAGAAACAATCACCTTATTGTTACAGGCTAACAGTTGGTACTATTTTCAGATTTTTGTTGCATATACTTGTTTGATAAATTACACATTCTCACACTTGTTTATGCATCTGATTACGTATTTATCTTATGAATAAAACTTTAGCTCAGGAGATTTATTTTATTAACATCCATTATTATCCAGTTTGGTTAGGATGTCTGGGTTTTCCCACGTTTACCGGGGTTCAAATAATGGAGTATTATATTACCTTATCATCTCATATACGCTTATCGTTTATCCACTTAAAGCAGGTCCGTTATGTTTAAATTTGATTCCGTATATGTACCCGTAAACTTATATCTTTTGTCCTAATATTCATGAGGTAATGAACATTCGCAGAGGTGGAATATCATCAAGAAGCGAAATGGTAACTCAAACATCAGGACTGGATCACAACTTTCTGAGGTACATCTAGCAGCTCGGCGGGCACTTAACATGGCCCTCGATCAGCCTGGATTGGATAATTTGAAGTCATCTTCTTCACTTGGTATCGCTTTTTCTATTTTTTTGAATCCATTGCATAAAAATTGGGCATTTCATTGATCTCATAGTTTAGTACCCTTTCTTTCCCATAAAATTAGCAAGTTTGATCTGTCACATAGTTTCTTATTACTCTTTCCATACCATGAAAATTGCAAACTCTTACTTCTTTGAAAGTTTTTACCACACTTGTTCCCTGTAGGACCCTGTACCGTTTGTCAACCTTAAAATTTTGGATTTACCTCTTTTCCCATTGTTATCTTTTGCTACTTTTAATGATGTCTGAATGTAATGTGAACAGGTAGGACGAAATCAAGCATCACCTCAAATGCTTCCGCACGTCCTATTGTAGCCGACACTCCATCCACTAGCACCCTTCCTCAAGATCTGGCCTGCGAAGACTCGACCCCAATAAAAACGTTTTCTAAAACCCGACCAAAAACATCACCAAAGCCTCTTGCCAATGGGCCGGATGCAGTGAAAGCTGCTGCAGTTGCTGCTGGGGCCCGCATTGCTACCCAATCGGCTGCTGCAGCTATATTGAAGCAACAGCTAAAGAGCGCCATCCACATCAAAACAAGTGTTACTGGCAACACTAGAACGTCACCTGGTGCCAACTTTCGTGACCTTCATTCACCAAACGCAAATGTGGGACCCATATTGAATCCGAGCAGCACTGGCCCGGAAATGAACGGTATTGCCATTTCCACCTCACCAAAGAGAATACAAGAAGATGAAACTGCTATTTCAGGAAATGCACAAGATGAATCTTCAAGTAGAGCAGATGCAGAAAATGGGAATCTTGGAAGACTTGAGGCTTCGGCTTCAAATACAAATATTCAGGATACTTCAGAAAAGGAAGGTAAACCATTTGCAGCCATTGAACGTAGGATTAGTGGTGATGGTGAAGTTGTGATGGTGGAAAGTGGTGAGAATGAAAGCGTTAAACAGGACCATCGAGAAGTCGAAAGCAAAGATGGAGTTTAAGTGATGTAACAGCTAGAAGTAGGAGTTTCCAGATTAGATGAAAACTTTGTTTCTGGTTTGATATTTTATCAGTCTCCTTTGTCTGTTGAGTGATGCATTCACAGTTGTATTCAGTTTTGTTAGGAAGTAGCTTTACTTTGAAATTAGCAATAGCCTGATGCTTTTTTTGGTCATGCTAGTTCGTATATTATCAGTCTGCTTTGCTTTTTATGTGGACTTGTGTGCTCTTTAGGCATTTGGTATGCAGACGGGATGGGGCTGGACAAGATTGATGAAGGCCCGGGTGGGGTTCGTGCACCTGCTCAACTATTTTTTGTAAGTAGAATTTTTCCTTGAGGTATGGAAGGTGTACCTGTTAAAAACTGAAAAAGGCCCTAGAAATTATCAAATAAACTGGAAAAGGTCTCTCGACAATAACCAAAAAACTGAAAATCTCTTAAAATCAACCAAAATACTTGAAAGATCCTTCAAAATGATGGAATTTGGCTAAGAACACATTGGACGACTATGTAGGCATTTGATCCACCTTCAAGGTGTTTGACAAAAATCTTGGGTTTGCCATTGATTGATTATAAACTGCGATGGATGGTTAAATAATTGGAAAACAAGTTACAAAACAAAATCACAAATTATCATTCTAACTCTAGTTTTATGTGTTTCTAAACGGCCATGGATGCTAGATGCGAAGTGACTCTTAGGGGCCGTTTACTAAACACTTACTTGGCAAGTGTTCAACGCATAAATTTTCTTATCGGATGAAAATGAGAAGGGCCAAGAATCTTACCGGGTAAGAGCGATGAGAAAATAGAGTCTTACCCGCTGAGTGAGGATGACGACTTTTACTCAGGTAAGCGCTTACCCAGTAAATTATTGCATTTGATATGTTTTGATATACTAAAAATCTTACGCCTCAAAATAAATTATAGTGTTGACTCCTATTGATAAGCGCTTACCGGGTATGCATTTGGGTAAACGGCCCCTAATTAACATTCACAACTTCTGCTTTTTCAAATTCCGATGCTTTGTTGTTTGATATCACTTCTTTCAACAATGAAGTAATCATTGTTTATACATCTTTGTGACCTTATTGGTGCTTGTGTTTTTAGTGCAATTTGGTTATTATGTGGTTTTCTATCCTCTAAATTGTTGATCTTAGTATCATCAGGTTTTTTAATGTAATTGTAATTTAACCTGAGATCTATGGGGTTTATTGCTTAAGCTATAATACAAGGATATGGAAAACTATTATGTACCTAAGACACTCATAAAGCGGGGGTCATAAAGGTTTTGCACAATTTGCTTATGATCTCAATAAAGCTACTCCGAATCAATTGACAATAGGTCAACTCTTATGTGAATTGCTTAAACAATCCTAATCCACTCCTCTGGTGGTGGAAGGACATATACTGACTATTTATACCGTGACAAATGGTTATCTCGATTCATTAGAAATTGGAGATGCAAGGAAATTTGTTGAATTACGTACTTACTTAAATACCAATTAGAAATTGGACATGTAAGGAAATTTCTTGTTGAATTACATACTTACTTAAATACCAATAAACCACAATTTCAAGAAATAATATCTTTACCAAGTCATTCATCGAGGAAGAAGAAGCCATTTTGAAAGAAACTATTAAGGAACAAATGGAACATTTTATACTTCAATAACAAACAACCTAAACAAATTGATCTCTGATAAGTATGATTTATATCAATTCCATAACGTCATTTTCCTACTTTTCTCTTGTTTTTTACATCCTTAAATGGATGATTTGAGTCTTTTTGGTTATGGTTTTATATCTTTCTTGTTTTGGAGCTTGAAAGTGGAAATAGTCTATCTTGGTGAGTTTTGGGCTGAATAGTGAAGTTATAGCATGCAGTAGAGATGTTGCACCAATGAATCAATGACGAGATGAATCTGATAAAAAGACAAAGGATTTGACCTAAACTCTTTTTGAGCTGAATCCAATGTGTGAAGTGATATAAAAGTTGACTATGGAAGTTTCTTTTGCCAACCAAGGAACACCATTTTATTAAAATATTGGAGGCTTGTCTCTTACTTTTGTTTAGTCCTTGAGTTTTTACACTTTGTGTTATATCCTTGTTGAGTATAAAAGGAGAGGCGGTGTCTTTGTTTTAGAGCATGCACATAGTTCATATTTCTCTCTTGTATTGCTCTCAGGTTTATTTAGTTTTTAATCTTTTGGTTATTTTCTTGTTCTTTACATTCATACAACAACGTCTTCCGTTTCCACAACAAGTTTAATTTCAAGCAATTTACTTTTCATGTCATTTACTTCCATGTCTTTACTTTTTGTTTTCAAAAGCAATGATGGGTTAATCACCCTAGCTTGGGTGTAAATGAAGTTTGGGAGAATAAGCCAACGTGTATGTGGATAATTTCTTTCACCATAGCTATCAACTCCACTATTCACTTCGTTTCTTAAAGTTTCATATGATGATTTTTGACAAATTAAGACATGTTACTTTATCATGATGAGTTGGCTTTTCAAAGAAGACAACGTAAACAAACATATTTAAAGAGTTGTAGAATGTTGCAACTTGCTTATCAACCGACACTTGTATGGAAAGAAGGATAAATTATGTACCATGCTTGTAATCATCATTGACACGATGAGAATATTGCATCTTTTAATTTGGACTTTGAAAGAAGGTCACTTAATCCAATAGTGTGATATTGAGAACTATCGTTGCGGCAACCTCATCTTATCCTGTAGTAATAAGGTTCTATTGCATTTTGAGCTGAAACTCCAACCAGATCTTACACCCATGCTTTTACTTGCTTGTTGTTACTTATTGTTATTATTACTCAAACTAATGTCTTCGACTTCGCCATCTGAAATTAGCTTTTTAACCTTGAGATATCACAACTTAAGAAACCTATCCCTATGGAATACGATACTTGGTTCTTACCTTTTTATCACTTGTTATAAGACGATATTGGTTGGACATGTATACTTGCATGTGTTGATCCTAACCCCTCTCAGTGATTTGATGATGACCATTTATACTTGGTGTTTAACTTTCTAATTAAGTTTTATTTGAAAGTGCACCAGCGAATGAGTTTGTTTAAGTGATCGCTAAGTACTCTATAGTTGTTATTTAGAACTTATGATCTCTCAAAGACAAGAGTCGTATCAAAGAAACTTCAACGATGTCAAAGAAGTAGTTGAAGATAAAGACATAATTAAACATGATCTGAAGCGGCATTCAGTGATACAAAACTATCTGATAAAATATGAAGACTTTAGTCAAGTGATCAGCGATATTTGAAGAAGTCCACAATAACTTCTCCTTAGCTGATTTAATGTCTTGCGTATCAATTTCTTTGTCTTACCCTCTCTTGCACAAGTCAAACATCATGCTTCATTCTAACAAAATGTACAATACAGTTTGCTTTATTTTTCCCTTCATGCTCACCAACTCCCATGAAGCACTGTTCATAAGTGGCCAAAGTATGCTTTGCTTGTGGACAAGAAGTACATGCAAGCCACTCTCCTCATGAAAAGTGGATTGTACTTGTACGTGCATTTAATGCACAAGTTATAAAAAGTTGAGAAGACTCTTCTTCTCACTACCATTGCTATCTTTTTTTTTCCTTGCTCTTATCTTCTTTCTAAGTGTATTTTGTGCAAGAACCTTTGTGTTTTCCATACTTTGATCTTCAAAGATTCTAAGTGCTCTAAGGTCTAAAGTAAAATTGTTTATATTAGGATTACTCCTTTTCTTATTCCACAACATTCTCTAAATTCATATGTATTGATTTTTTTTTCATAATCAATAAATGAATTTAGAGAGTAAAATATTTGTATTCGTATTCACCCCCTATACAAACTATTTAGGTCTTTTTAACCCTCTTGGGACCTACAAGTGGTATCAGAGCAGTGTTTCTCTTCTTCTCTTATTTTCTGAATTGATCCTACAATCGCTACAAACAACTATCATGACAATGACTCTCTTGCTAAACCTCCTAGATTTAGCAGAGACAATTTTGTTCTTTGGAAAAACTGAATGTCTCTTTTTCTTGAGGGTATGGATCCTCAAATCCCATACCAAATCAGAGATAGTCCTTTTGTTCCTTCTATAAATATCGAAGTTGTTCCAGCCACTATCACACACCCTTGAACTCCCAAGCGTGTAGTAGTAAAGCAAGTTCATCACTAGAATGAAGATGATATAAAAAAGATGGCTATTTACACCAAAGCCATAACGGTCATAGCCATGGCTCTTTCTGATGAAGTTTTCCATTTTGTGATGAACCTCAAGACCTCAAAAGAAATATGGGACACTTTTGAAGTTTATTTTGCTAACCAATGAGCACCCTTTTATTAAAATATTGGAAGGTTGTCTCCCTTCTTTAGTCCTTGATTTTTTACCTTTTGTGTTATCCTTGTTGAATATAGAAGGAGAGGTGGTGTATTTATTTTAGAGCATGTAAATAGTTCATATTTCTCTCTTGTATTGCTCTCAAGTTTATTTAGTTTCTAATATTTTGGTTATTTTCTTGTTCGTTACATTCCTACAACAACGTCCTTCAGTTTCAGTAAGTTTACTTTCAAGCAATTTACTTTTTATGCCATTTACTTCCATGTCTTTACTTTGTATTTTTAAAATCAATGATGGGTTAATCACCCTAGCTTGGGTATGAGTAAGTTTGGGAGAATAAGTCAACCGTGTATGTGGATAATTTCTTTCGCCATAACTATCAATTCCACTATTCACTTCACTTCTTGATTCACTTAAATGATTTTTGACGAATTGATACATGTTATTTCATTAAGATGAGTTGATATTATATAGAAGACAACATAAACAAGAAGATTTAAAAAGTTGTATCTAAACTAGACTTTGAAAGAAGGTAATTCAATTGAATGGTGTGATGTTGAGAACTATTGTTGCAACAACTTCGTGTTATGTTGTAGCAAGGTTCTGCTGCACTTGAAGCTGAGATTCTAACCATATCTTACACCTATGCTTTTACTTTCTCGTTGCTACTTATTGTTAATTATTACTCACTCAAACCAATTTCTTCGATTTTGCCATCTGAAGTTAGCTTTTTCTCCTTTAGATCTCACAACATAAGAAACCTATCCCTATGGAATATGATACTTGGTTTCTACCATCTTGTTACTTGTTTTAAGACGATAT